CCCTGGGAACGCAGCCCCCCGTTAGTATGGAACATGAACACTGAATATGAAACGTGCACAAAGTAAAGTGACACACTCAGCACACACCAACAGCCCCAACGAGAGCCATCCATCTCTGAACGACCCTCAGAGCTACTCCAGCCCATTTCTTCCCTCCGGCTGCCCCCCCGAAGCCCCCCGTCCGCCCCCTGCTCTTCTCCGGCCCTCTGGACCAGACCAGAGTCTGTAGCTGATCAAACCTGATATTTACAGTTACACACTTAACCACCGACCAGTATTAACAGTGTGTTTTAGAGAGAGAAAGTGTGTGTGTGTGTGTGTGTGTGAATAAGCACAGGGCTGTTTCCAGCTAGCGCGTACCCCCCATTGTTTCTTTCCCCCCCCCCCACAGAGTTGGTCCTCTTTAGGCATCACAAAGTGAATCTGAGTGTGTGAATGAGAGCCCTCCGTGGGCAGGTCTCTGGCCTGAAAGCCATTCTGTCAACATGAACGTGCCTTGCTCAAGATCTGTCTCTATTCTGCTGACTAACTGGAAGCTCTCTGGTACTGGGATGTGACAGCTCATTCCTTATTTAGGTTGGTGTAAACACAGACCTGCCTCAGGTCCGTGGTGCTCTGGACCCCGTGATGAAGACAGACTCAGACCTGATTCAGACCTGTCCTGATCCACAGCCTCAGGATGACATCATCCATCGGATGACGTCATGTTTCTGACAGGAAGCCGCAGCAAAAGCTCTGTGAAACGTCCGTCTTAACAGAAAACTGAAACTATAACCATCTTTAACTTAAACTTGGCCCAAGAACTGACTTCCAATAGATTTTTGGTGAGTTTTAACCTTGATATTATCAAGCAAAAGGCCTGAGGTCAGCAGGGAATAAGGGATGATTAGAATTAAGACCAGAGGAGCTCTGTTCAGTTTGAGTTTGAATTCATAAAACTGAATTATGGTTAAAGGTAAATAATTGGTGGCATCCTGACTGAGACTCACAGTGACACAGTAACACAGTTCCAGCCAAACACTCTGAAATAAAGAAATAAAAGAGCACGGATGTGGTGCAGCCTCTCATCTGCATGCTTCACCTCCACAGACAGGGGCTTCTTAAAAGCTTTTTTGGGTAATGATGAGGAGAAGTGTGGAATGGAGTCATAATTCCTGCTCATCGTGTTCAGGAGAGTCCACAGCTCCCACTCCACAGGCTCTCCCCCCGGCCCTGCTCCCCCCCCCCCCCCCCCTCCGCAGCTGAGAGCCTCTCCAGCCCAGGGGAAATGACACCACTGCGTTATCAAGCTCTGTGTTGTATTCTGCTCATCCATTACTCCTTCATTTCCCTTTCCATTTGACTCCTTTCCCTTCATTCACAGCCCTCCTCTTCTCCTGCTATGGATTCCTATTTTCCCTCCCAATTCTGCTCTGAGTCTCTCCTCTCCCCATAATGTCTCTTTTCGGGGGGCCATGGATCAGGTAGCATCTGAGTTTCTCTGGTAATGGTGTAATGGAGCTGAAAACCCCTCTCTGCTGGTGTGATGGATGCTAACCTGTGGAGTCTGAGGTCCATCTTCAGTTTGGAACACGCAGAGGCAGGTTAGAGATATCAGGGATCAGGTTGAAGGATTTTGAACGGCTGCTTTCTGCTGATGGTAGCAGCTGAACTCTCTCTGGAACAAAAGCAGCAGCTCAACATCTCAGATGCAGAATCTTTTATATCTGTAAATACATGTGACCCTCGATGTCTCTGGATTGGAAACAGGCCAAACACTAGCCTGAACTGGCTGCCGGGGTAAAGAACAGGTCCAGAAATCCCCGTCTGTGAGCACCGGTTCACAGTAAAGTCAACCACTGTGTAGTCTGTCCTCCGCTCTCTACTGTGCAGATATTTTCTATCTAAAGGAAACAGATTCAGGACATTACAACCTTTATTATGCTCTTCTTTACCATAAACATTCTTTTTATTTTGTCTGTTGTATTTTTTTTTATTTTTAATGGCTTCTTGCTTTAACTCTGACCTTTGACCTCGACAGAAGCTACTGGAACCAGAATGTCCCTGAAGGACTAAATAAAGGGGTAAATAAAGCGGAGTCTGAGTCTAAGCTGGAGTCCTGGACAGTCTAAAATATTAACAGAACCATAAAATTCTCCTCACTGATAAAGCCCCAGAGGACAAACACTTTCAGTCAAACTAAACCGTAAAGAAGACGTTTGTCATTTGACTCCATCTGTTCTAAGTTTAGTCCGGCCTCAGTGGGGCAGGAGGTCCGAGGTCTTCAGGCTCTGGAGGTCCAGACCTGTTGAACCAGGGTGATACATCTTCTGTCTGATTCCCTGTGTTCATCTGCTCATTCCTGTTGACTTCCATATAATAAGGAGGAATGTGAGTGTAGGAGTGGGCCTATTCTACACACCAGGATGGTCCCACCGACACACATTTTCTGCATCCCTCCCAGGTTCCTCTCTCTCCGGCCCTTTGTTCTGCTGAATGTCCTCCTGATGTCTCCTGATCTGAGTTTCTGCCATGCTGGCCTTTTGCTGACAGACTTCAGCTGGGCTCCAGGACTGGGAGAGGGGCAGGCTCCTGTGTGTAGGTGTGCCTTTAGAGTCCCTGTATTGAGGAGGACAACAAAACACTCCTACGCACTCTCCTAACAGCCACGGATTCCCCGCCCCACAAAGAGAACACTTTCTCTTTAGGGGACTTTAGAAGCTAAATGAATGGCATTGATCCATATCGGTGTTTTTTCCTACTGTTTAAAGAGTAAGAAGAGACTGAAATGTCATTGTTAGCCTGTGTTTTGTTCCAGTTTTTCACACAAATTCAGATTTACCACCCAATACAGGAAAAGTTTATATAGATTTTATACTAAACTTTCTACACTGTGATTTCCTGGAATCAGTTTTGTGATGGAAAATATACAGATGGTTCTGTTTGACTCGTGCTTTGTATTCTTATATTTCTATATTTACACAATATTCTATCTATCAGGCGGCCTTAAAGCAAGCGGGTCCCCGGGGTTCCCTCTGGTACCCCAGCTTCCTCCCACTGTACAAACACAGGCATGTTAGCTTAGAGAACACTCTAAACTGCCCCTAGCAGATAATGAGTGTGTTTGTTTGTCTCTGGGTGGACTCTGCCTCTCACCCGAATGGGAACAGGCAGTAGAGATGATGCACAACGTATATTTCTATGACTATTATATCTACAACTATCATCCATCCATTATTAGTAACAATACCAATCTGAGAAGACTTCACTGAGAACCACTGGAAAAAGTTGTAGATTCTACACACACATATATATATATATATATATATATATATAATTTATATGTGGATATCTGTAAAAGAAGTGTGTATAAAGTTGTATCAAGTCTGAAGAGTATGAACAAGGCTCCACCTAGTGGCTCAAGAGGCACAAACATCTACAGAAGTTCAATTCTGCATCTATCTGTGTCAGACTCTCTCCCATGCTAATGTGCAGGAACACATACAGGGCTTCTAAATGTATTAGTCTGCTGTATTATAACTAAAGAAATATGAGCTCAGATTGAACCTGTCCATGGTCCCAGACCACCTTTGAAAGAAATTAAACAAAGACAACTGTTTTAGATCTTTTTTTATTGGTCCAGTTTAAAAAGCATCCCATGATAACTTTCAGAAATGAAGCAGACAGGAACAACAGAACAAACAAGGAAAGGGGCATCCATCTGCACCCGTCAGAGTCCTGTCTGGAGAGAAACACCCCCATGTACCGTCACGTGATGGGGTCCGAAACCAGCCTCAGTCACCACGGCAACCCACTCCTCAGCCCATCCTTTCATCACTACAAACAACACAAAATACCTCCTGAACCAGTACGGAAGCAGAACCAGCAGAGAGACCAGAGACCCCACCGGGGGGGCAGAGACACTTCTGTATCAGAGACACACCTTATGATCAAATAACTGAAATAAAGGATCCTTTCCTTTAAGATTTTATCAAATGTACAGTGCACATAACAACTGGGTTCAATACTCTTCAGTACTGTGAAGAAAAGCTGAATCTGTAAGAATCACAAACAGCACAGTAAAGGGAGGAATGGAGGCTCAAATAATCAGAGAAATAAAAAGGCACAAAGCTGCTAAAGAGGGAAAAACTGGAAATCTGAACAAAGACAATAACCCGTTTTCTCTTCAACTGCATGCAGTTAGATATCAGGGGTGATGAATTACTTTAACACATTAAAGATTTATTTGTAGATCATTTATATGCATTTTCCTAAATAGTTTTTTAAATAAAACATCTTTTTTTAATCAGAATCTTTTCAGTGCTGTACTCTGTCCTGGTTTTAAAGGTTAGATCTGGTATGATGTCAGAGGCTCTGACTCAGATGTTTACAGAGAACAAACCATATCTAGATTTACACAATCCAAATAAGCAGCATGCACTACGTGTTGTTAGCCTGCCATTACCAGCCCACAGCAGCTGGAGAACACCGCTGCCATGGTGACTCCGTTAGTATCCACAGCCAGAGGAAGAGACCACGTGTCTTTTTGTTTTTCATCCAGCTCCTTATCTGTGGAGAGTGGGCTGTCACAGGCAGTAACACCTTTTTGTGTGGATATAAGAGCAGTGGAGTGGCTTTATTATGAGCCTCCATGTTGTTATGAAGCTTCCTCTGGGTTTTTTGGGGGTAAAAAGGGGTTAAACTACGCTTAAACTATGTACATGTTTCCAGCTGTGGTAATCAAAAGCAGCCAAAACAGAAACTTTAAGGATCTGAAAGCCTTTTAGATCACACGCATGCTGCTGCAGAGTAAAGATTTCAAAACTTAATTTCTCTGTGCGTCACCAGAAGATCCACAAGGAAGGTTACCTTCCCTCAAAGGGTTCCAGGGACCTTTTTAAAATCACAAACATGTCAGCTATCTACATGGACATCTTGGCAAATCTGAAAAGACAATGGCTTTAGGCTGCCCCCAGATGGTCACCCACAAAACCCACTCCTGACCCCCCATCCTGAGCCAGTCACTCCCCCCCCAGACTGAACGGGGTGAACTTCTGAGCCTGCTGGGCTCCAATCTCCGCCACAAACAGAGCCCCGGTCTTCAGGTCCAGGTCCACCAGGTGGGGCTTGACCTCGTCGGCCAGCTGGATCACGCTGACCACCCGGCACTGGCCGATCAGGCCCACCGGGGGGGCGTCCAGCAGGGAGATCTGGTTGGTGTTGAGCTGCACCACCACAAAGTACTTCCTGTCGGGGGTCAGGCGGACGGAGTAGGGGGCGTCCTCTGAGAAGCAGCTCCCCCAGGTGCCCAGCCAGTCCCCGGTGACCGAGTTGAACACCTGGATCCTCTTGTTGCCGCGGTCAGCCACCCACACCCGCTGGGCGTCGTCCACGGTGACGCTGTGGGGGATGTAGAACTGGGCCAGGCCCTGGCCCCGCTCCCCGTGCATCCACAGGACCTGCCGCTCTCTGGACAGCTTGAGGAGGCGGTTGTTCATCCCGCCATCGCCGTCCACTATGTACATCTCCCCAGAGTCCTGGACGAAGATCTCAGCCGGCTGGTCAAACTGGAGGGGGTTCAGCCCAGAGCCGGCTGTCCCCGGAGTACCGAGCACCTGCACAGACAGGAAGAGGCTCACAAAGCCCCCAATACTGCCATAAAGCCCCAGAAAAATAGCTTTTAAGCCCCTCAAAACAGTTTTAAAAGACGCCAAAGCAGCTTTAAAGCCCACAAAACAGCTTTAAAAGCCCTCTAAACAGATTGAGAGTCCCCAAAATGCCTTTAGAAGCATCAAAAAACAACTTTAAAAGCCCCAATAAAATATTTAAAAGCCCCGAAAACAGTTTTAAAGCCCCACAAAACAGCTTTAAAAGCCCCAAAACACCTGGATGGAGGATGAAACAGCTTTGGATAGAAGCGTCTGAAGGCAGAAGCCTTAGCGTGCCTGACCTGCAGAAGCTGCCCTGAGGGGGAGAACTGCTTGATGCAGTGACCGTAGGGCCCGGCCCCCACGTCGGTGATCCACAGGGTGGGGTTTCCCGTGGCAGCTCCCGCCAGAAACATGCCGTGAGGCATCTCCAGAGCAGAGGTGTTCCAGGACAGGAGGAAGTCTCCATCGGTGGAGAACACCAGCAGCTTGGGCACGTTGGAGCCTGAGGAGAGCAAACACCGTTTACCCTCATGAACCCACAAAACCAAACCGAGCCGGATCCATCACAAACAGGACCAGCTCCACATTCCATCTGAAGAAGAACAGAGTACAGTTTTATACACCAGCTCAACAAAAGGTGAGTCTATAAACTTATGACCTGCATCCTGATAC